AGGCTCCAACGGACCAATACATTAAAGGGGTGATTGGCTTGATTTATGGGATTGAAAAGATTTGGGATCTGCAGAATATTGGCTTCCCAGCGATGTATGGAACTTACCCATCGCTGGTAAGCCAATTTTCCTTCAGTTTTGAAGCCAACGGTTACCTACCCATCGATGGGTAGATGCTTCCCATCGCTGGGTGGGAGGTTGACTTTCAAATAAGGAAAGAATCAGCCTTAAATGACTCGCAACGGTCATGCCTAACCATCGATGGTTAAGCCTTCCCATCGCTGTGTTCCCATCGATGGGTAAAGCTTCCCATCGCTGGGTAAGGGCATTCTGCCTTGTGGTAATGTTGCACCAAGGCTTTAACAGCGATGGGTAGAACTTCCCATCGCTGTTTGGCATTGGTCTAGAAATCAGTTTCGTTGAGGGACTGCTTACCCATCGATGGGAAGATCTTCCCATCGCTGGGTGGCATGATTCTGGAATCCCGGGATCACTTACCCATGCATGGGTGAAATCTACCATCGCTGGGTAGATGGCTAGCCCAGAACCATGGCCTAGCTGACCGACGCTGAAACCCGACCGAAAAATGCAAAGTTCTCCAAAGTAAAAACTAAGTATATAAAACACTTATTTAATGTATTTTTATGTCAAAACAAGCTTTGTAAGTTGAAAACCACATCGTTAAGGTAAAAACCACGGTTGACCAAGTCAACACGGTACACGGGTGGTTTTCACCAAAAGACAAAACCGAAAGGTGGTTTTCATGATTTTTTGATTGGAGAACCATTTAAATTCATTCAAAAACAATTCCCACACAAAAAGACTCGAAAACCACTTCATTTAAGTAAAAACCACGGCTAGCCAAGTTTATGCCGTTTCGCATGGTTTTTATCAAACGACAAAAAACGAAAGGTGGTTTTTGAAATGTTTTTGATGGAAAACTATTTAAATGTGCCCAGAAGTAAAAACCAATCATAAAAAGTTGAAAACTACTTGGTTGGTTCGGACGCCAAAAACCAACGCCGAAAACCGAATGCCGAATGCCGGTTTCTGAAACCCGAACGCCGAATGGCTTGGTTTTTGGTTTGGGCGAACACCAAGTGTTTTTAATGTTTTATACATCTTTGAAAAACATTTTTATGATGTGTGAAATGCATTGAAAAGAATTTTAGCCTAAAGAGCCAAGCTGTAAAGATTGGGTCGGTCTTGATCACAATAAAGACCGACTCAACGATGCTAAGACTAAGGTCTTCGTTCTTGGTCTTGTTCTCATCTTTGGTTCTCGCCTTGTATATTCAATGACTTGTCTCGTTCACGGCGGTTTGGCATTATCAAAACCTTGTATATTCAATGACTTGTCTCGTTCACGGCGGTTTGGCATTATCAAAACCTGTCATAACAACGAACGCGGCTTTAGTACGAAAACGTGATAAACCCGTGTTTCAACAAGAGTGGGGAGGGGGTTACGTAAATATGGTGTGGCGTGAGGGTTTGGGACGTGTAAGGACTATATTTATACTTTTGGGGTTTTGGGCTCCGTATTAACTGAACGTACATGGCCCAAACGCACTTTCCGTGCCCACTGGCTCCAAATCCAAATCCAATTTCACCGTTTGATTCGATCCGTCGAACCCTACACAACGGTGTAATTTTTATTGTCAAACGAAGAGTATTTATAATTTTCAGCGGGTCCGTCTCAATAATTAATTAATTATTTCTAATTAATTAAATCTGATAGGCCGAGTTTCAGGGCGTTACATTTACACATGAGAAAACAAAATCAGTGTGCCCACTAAAGCAAGCTATAATGGCTATATACACCCTAGAATACTATGATAAACTAATGTGAACAACCTACCATTCCCTAGAGAAAAGGGGACACAAAGGAGTTCCAGGGGCATCTGAAACAAAATATCATCCTAAATGGCAAACCTTGTAATAGATATCCATAATTTTTTATAAAAAAGTCTAAAGCCTAAAAAGAAACACTTAAGAGGAAAAACAACCTCATGCATATAAAGCTGGATGAAAGACACTACAAAAATACACACACACACACTACAAAAATAAAATATTTTAACAATATATTTCCAAATAAATCTATTGATATTAAGTGTATATAAAAATTCAATATGTTTTTTCCATAATATACGATCAAAGTTTAAAAAGTGCTCAAATATGTCAAACGAAAAATAGTAAACATATTATAATATTAAAAAACAATGCACAACTCCTGTTACTACACAAACATATCTCAATATTAAAAAATAATGCTCCTTAAGTAATTGTCTAGAAGCAACCATACATCACATTTTTTAGTTTGATTAAAAAAACCTTTGATAATGGAGAAGAGAAATGCATGGCATGCATTATATTGTAACCTCACATTAGCAATAAGCAAGAGAATATATTACCTTTGGTATCCCTGAGCTGATTTGGTTGTAGCCAGACCATTTGAATGACTATGTTCCATCTTATTTTAAAAATTCAAATCTATCAACTCTAGGCAATATTTTTTAATTTGGCTTCAAATAACTTCATACCCATTCCTTATCAGATGAATATACCAAATTCATTGATTAACATTGAGAAACACATAAAAAGCATGTTAAAGCAAACAAAGATAAAGAGATCCAACAATTAAAAACGGGAATTCAATTTAGAAACCATCGAAGAAGTAAATAACTTTAATAATCCTCTCACAATTGAACAGAATTAGACATCCCAATAGGATGCCAAGAATGCTGACAATGAACTCACTTATAGAGATGTCTAGTTGTTCAGTGTTTTGATTGAATGGGAGCATGGGTCATAAAAAGCCAAACTCACGAGAATTGTGAGAAGAGTGTCTCTTGTAACCTACAAAAGTAAAATTCACAAATTCACCTGTCGTAGCCTACAAAAACAAAATTCACAAATTCATCCACTTAATTCGCAATTTTGACACCAAATTGCACATTAGCCTATTTTTTTAACTATAAAATGAGAAGGAGAACTTAAATACATGGAACCTGGGCATCAACCTTGATGAGACGGCCAGTTCACAGCATATTTAGCGTTGAAGAAATTTTCGGATCCATCATCAATAGGAAAACAGATCTAAATCAAGCAATTTAAGGGTGAGAATCGGACTTTCAAAAAAGGGTGTGGATTGGCTCAAGAATTTCGTATCACAATTCTCTCTAAGTCTGATTTGGGATTTTCAATTTGATGAGGAAGAGTATCAATTAGGAATGAAATCGGAATGAAGGGGAAGAGATACGAATCTCAATTTTGGTAGCGGAAGAAGATTTCCTCTCTGAATTTTGATTAGCTACAAAGCGTATGGTAAGCTTCGATCAAATAATCGAAGGAGTGATAAGAGAGAGACTCGTGGAGGCTTACTTGTCAAAATAACAGGACTCTAAAATTGCCACATGACAATATTCTAGACATCAAACTCTCAAATTTTATATTAAAGGATGAGCATGCCCTATAAATTTATTTGGAGCTCAAGTTCACGTGCGCCCCAAACAAACATCTGAGCATGCCCTATAAATTTACTAGAAGCCGTCTGCTACATAAAGCCCATCCCTCTCCGTTTCTTATTTTTTCAGAAAGAAAAATCCAACTTAACCCCCAATTTCACACAGCTATGGCGACATTGACGAAACCCGAAGTAGGCATTTCTTCAACTTCCATTAAGGACATCGATGATGTTGTGTTGGTCGAGGTCCTCTGTAGAGGAATCCCCAATTTCAAAATAGCGTTTCGGTGCAAATTGGTCTCCAAGCGGTGGCGTTACTTGATCTCCAGTCCCATCTTTCCCAAGCGCTGGAAGGAATTTCATAGAACTCTTCGTCCCGGCGAGCCATTGCCCTAGTCCATGGTCATCAACGTTCGGGTCCGACGGGGTGAGGACAAATACATGACGAACTATGTGGCTTCCCAGCACCCAATGTTCCAGTTTCCCATATTCAAGTTCGATTATCTGCCTTGTTCGAGACCTAGAAGAGCCGCTAGCGTCCGAATAGCCGCATCGTGCAAAGATCTGTTCTTGTGCCACGCGATTAGAGACAAGATGGAATTGGAGGATAGGGTTTATTACATATGCAATCCGCTGACCAGGCAATGGATCTCCCTTCTGCCCTTCCCCACCAAATTCAAATTCATGGAAGGTGTAGCCACTGGTCTGGTGGTCTCTGGTGATGGGATGAGTTACAGAGTGGTTCGGATTCATCATGATTTGGAATCTTATACTGCTGTTTCTTTGGTAGTCGAGGTTTTTTCCTCAGAAACAAACCAATGGGAAGAGGTAGAGGTACGCCATCCTGAAAGTTCCCCTTTCCGTTTTGATTTTGAAAATAAGAGTTACGCAACGAATAATCTGTTGTGCTGGAATGGCTTACTGTTGTTTGAGAATTGGATTGATTATAGCATTGTGGCTTACAATCCCTTTGAGCCAACGAGATGCCGCATGATTGAGCAGCCACCTAGATATAGACTGGGCCAATACTATAGGTCTTTCTTGAGTTTTGGGGAGTGCAATGGGAGTTTCCGAGTAGTCCAGCACTACGACCACCCTGGTGGTAGGCATGGGGTTTTCATGACTTGGGAATTAGAGGACTATGAGACAGAAGAGTGGAGGTTTGTGAACAAGCTCGTTTTTCGGGATTTCATCACGGACGACGCCCCTCTACGACTCCAGTGCGAAATGAACAGTGATGACGAGAGTGACTTTGATGACTATGTATCCCAGTTGTGTTTCTTCCGTGCACAGCGCATCAGACTTTTGACCATGGATCCAAATGAGAAGGATGTGATATATTTTTATCACAGTGCGGAAAAATTATGGGACAGATGGATCTTCTCGTGCAATTTGGAGACTAAGGAAGTGAGAGTGTTTGACAAGAGTATCATTGAGAGATGCGTCGAAATTGATTACCTGTTGCGCAATGTTTTTCAGTTTGTAGTTCCTGAGTGGCCTACACCAATTCCTTGTGCACCCACACAATGCACCTAGCTTTTGAGCTCTACTTTGATATAAAGCGGGAATGAATAAATATATTAGGTATTCCCTCCATTCCATATTAACCACCTAATAAGACATTCTTGGTACATCGAGAAATGAATGAATGTATACATAAAGGGTGTCTACATTCATTCACTTTTTAATGTATCAAGAATGTCTTATTAGGATGCTTCATACAAAGAGTCTTACATGCTATGCGAGTAGTCACATGTAGGTAGTCAATTGTGCTATAATTAGAGTGTTGTGCTATTTACATACAAATATATGCACGAAGATTATGTGGAGGTAGTGACGTGATAATGAAATGATTTATTATATGGGATTGCTGAACTGGTACATAATTTCTGTGCTCATTATTTATATGCTATGTGGATCATAATATTGCTTGACAATGATCAAACTATAACAAGCTTTGCTTATTTCTATGGTCACTTGTATAAATCTTTTAGGCATGTTTAAATCAATCAGTAATGTATAGAAACTAGAGCTGTAGAATGCAAATCTTTGCTTAGGTTACAAGAACTACTTAGTGATATGTCAATTCTATCATGACATAGGTAAACAAGGGTACTTGTGAGTTCTTTAAGTGAATGCTTGTGCTTGTGTTATTCTTTCGAGTTGGTAGTTAGTTTTTAGGCCTGCATATTACTTGGTGCAATAACGGATCAGGAGCCACTACACCAGAGGCATATCAGATTGAGCCATAGTTATTGTGTTGTTTTCTCTATGTATATCAGTTGCACCATTGTTTTGAGTTGATGGTCTCTTGACATTTCCTCAATTTTCAGATTTTGCTTGATGATATTTTTCTAGCTACATTTGTTGTTCTTATTCTCTACCATTAAAAAAAATTCCAAGAATCATTAGATAACATTTAACATTGAAGTGAAGTTATGGTGTCACTCAATGCACTTTTCAATACTTCCCAAGCACTGTGAAAGCATTTATAACTATTTTCACTTTTGAATAGCAGTTTCCTTGGGAGGGAGATGTGGTTTAATTTCTTCTGATTTCTTTTACACTATGTTTGGTTCAAGGAATTTGAGAGACAAATGAAAAGAAAATGAGAAGGAAAACATTTTTCTTGTTTCGTTAGAGAGGAAAAAAGAAAATAAAAGTGAAAGGAAAACAAATGAGAAAGCAGGTATTAAGATGAGGGAAAATCAAGTTCCTCTATTTTTGATGAGGAAACTGAGGTAAAATTATTTTCTTTTCCATTCCTTTCAAATTCATTGAACCAAACATAGTGTTAGTATTTTTCAAACTCTTTTCAAGTTTTTAAAATTCATTATAACTTTTTCAACTTCTTCCAAAAGGTGTCACATAGTAATCGGTTTTGTAGTTGTCCCATGTGGAAGTCATTCATTATCAATTTTGGTTGTTTCTTTCTTCCACCCATCACCCTCATCCTGCAGCAACACAAGTGTATTCCAAATTTTTTACCAAGGTGTTTTTTTTCTAGCCTTACTTTTTCTTTTCTTTTCTTTTTTTATTATTATCCAAGTTGAACATTTATGATCCATGTGCCAATTTCATGTCAGGTTTTAAAAGTAATATTTGATAATAAAAGACTTAATAAGAAAATCTCCATGCTATAAAGGATCAATTATGCAATTTACTCTTTTATTAATGAGTTCATAATTATGCTAGACTAGTGGCGGTTTGTATAATTATTGTGTTTGTGTTTAATGAAATGAGTTTTTTTGTGTAAAATTCTACATGTTCCTTACATCTCTAAATAATATTTTTGTTTCGGAATACGATATTTGAGAGATGTTATGTTCACTCAATTTATTTAGATTTTGGTGTAAAATTAAAAAATATATACAGATTATATACTTAAACTATATCAAAGATTTTACATAATAAGATGTGATATGATTATATCTGATGGTGTGAATTATCGACCGGTATATCGTTTTTAGCCGGGCAAAAATGATAAACTAGTCTAAAAAATACACCAAAATATAAACACGGGGGTTTAGACGTGGAAACCCAAATCGGGAGAAAACCACGGGCCTTTTTCGGTGGTACCTTGCCAACGGGGGATTTTTATTAATATTGGGGGTTGTACACGGTACATGATTTGGGCTCGGAAGCTATTAATGGAAGCTTGAAGCTTCTTTGAAGAAATAAAATACAAGAATTGTCTCTAGAGAGAAAGTGTAATGGGCAGGGAGTAAAGAGTGAAAATGGCCCCCTCTAACAATTAGGACAACCCTCTCTTTTATAGGAAAGAGTGGGAGCATCTAAGGAGGAATATTCTCTTATTCCTCAATTTTATTAAACAGGCCTGATTTGACTGTTCTTCGTAAATAATTGGGAAATGTGGGCCGAGCCACGTATTATTTCCCATCAAGAAGTCCACTTTTTTAAGTTGTGAGAATCATCGACTTAAAAAAGTAAATAAGTCCTTCGAGTGCTATCTTTAGTCTTCGTACTTTGGATTCTTGATCGGTTGATATTATTGTTAGTCCTCCGAGTCTTCATTAATTCTCTAATTTCTTGAATCAGAAGTTTTTCTTGCAAAAAATAATATGCACAACATTTTTTTGACCGGCCTATGCCGTGCCCAAAAAATTATTATCTTTACCGAGGAGCTCGGTGTTAGGTGATTAAAATTCGCGTGAATAATTATCGTAACGAGAGTGATGTTAGTTCGATGAAGCAACGGTGCTTTAAAAAGTTATTTCGTCGAGGCCGATGTTAATACGAGTCAAGCAAACGATGAGTGACAAAATTAGTATACTGACGACAACGACGTTAGTTAATAAGAATTGAATATGATGTGGTAGCTCTGTTGAAGATCAGTGTTAGCTCGGCTGAGTGATGTAAATATCTTCATGTCTCGCGGAGACCATCTTCGATAAAAGTGCCTCAGATAAAGGGCTTAGAATGAATCGGGCGTCCCCGATATGAGCTCAGCTCACTTTTTGTTGAAACCGATGTACGATTGGTGTATCCAATTTGATTGGGCTCAAGCTCATTGGAAAATATGTGTAAGACTGGTGTGAGACCAGTGTACCAGTTCGACTGGGTCACATATTTTCTTTATTATACTGAGCAAGACCGGTGTAGTAACCAGCGTGCCAGGCTGGGCGTGTGTCTCAGTCTTCCTCTTTGAATAATGCTGCTAGCCGGGCCAGATCAACATTGGAGAATTAACCATGTCAGATGGTTTCGAGCCCTCTCCAAGGCCCAAAATGCACCCTTCTTACAGGGCCCCCTCTTCCGGGTGATTAAGTATTTTAATGGCCTTTTGATATTTACTATCCCAGGAAGGCCTTAGCTCACCCACCCGTTCAAGTCTTCCCTGAGAAGGGGGAATCCGATCCGGTCGGAGTAGGATGCATTGCGGTGAATGATCCTTTTCTATTTCTTTTAATGGGCATCTTTTAGTTCCCAATAAGTATGTCGATTTCGGCTGACTCCCCGATACCGATCAAACTTCATGAGTCCGTGTAAGTACGGTTCGAACCCTCTTCCAGGTCTAGCCCTCTTGCAGGCATACCCCTTATCCGGGTCCCCTCTTCCGGGTTTATCTATTTTTTATTTTATACTGAGCAAGACCAATGTAGTAACCAGCGTGCCAGATCCGGGTCTGTGTCTCAGTCTTCTCTTCGAATTCGTCCAAAAGGCATGTACAAATATTCAAATTATTGCTACATAATGCTAACCCATTCCACCAATTTGTGGTGGTGGACCCCAATGAGAAATAAGTGGGAAGGAACCCATTACTTCTCCCTCCTTTCTTCTCTTTTCCATCGGCAGAGGTCCCCCTTTTTTTGTCTTCCTCATAATTGAAATGATAAATGGCCCACCACTTTGTATTCTTCTTCATGGATTTCCTTTTAATGCATTTGATTCTTTCGTTCCATCTTCCACGTGCCTTCCACTTCAAAACATGCAGAATGCTCTACACCTTAATTGGACGGGTCCAGCTGGCCTCACATGTTTCCTTTTCTTAATTTGTTTACTTTTATTTGTCTTCTTCCCCTCATGGTTGAAACTTCCAGGTTGGAGCACAATGGGTGCAACACGGTGAAGGCAAACATCAACTGCAGAGGGACTTCAACAATAGCAGCGATGAAGAGTCCATGGATTAATGATCCAGAATTTTTCCAGATGAAGAAATATGTGACCCACAGTTGGACTTACGCGCCAGAAATAGTCGACCGGATTGCCCAGCACAACGGAATGATTTGAGCTACGTCGAGAAGATCTCCAATGGTGGTGGCAGAAACTAAAAACCACAGATCAACTGTAGACATGGGCGGTGATGTGCAGCGGAGGGCGATAGAACTCACGAGGCACCGGATAGTTGTTGATCATGAGGACCATAACTTCAGGCGATTATAGTCCTCAATGTCTGCGGGTCCGGCGGTTTAATTATGAGGGGCCGTTGTGGGGAAGACATTTGATGTCGTTCAGCTCGCCGTAGAGAAAATTCCGTCAAGTGGGTTTCCGTCCATGGTGGTCTTTCCAGCAATTGGTGGATTCTGAGCTTCAACTACTCTAGCCTTGGCCCTGTTCCGAGTTGGTGGAAGGGAGAGTACAAATCCGGTAAGAATTTCAACGTTTCGAGCTGCAATAGAAAGCTCATCGGCGCCAGGTATTTCTCCAAAGGTTACGAAGCAGCTCTGGGCCCAATTGACGAGTCCAAAGAGTCGAATTCGCCGCGAGATGACGATGACGACGGCACCCATGCCTCATCCATGGCGACCGGATCTCTCATCCCCGACGCCGGCCTTTTAGGTTCCACTTCCGGATCTGCTCTTGGAATGGCATCACGTGCTCGAGTGGCCGTTTACATGGTTTGTTGGGTAGGTGGTTGTTTTAGTGCTGACATCTTTGGCCTGACGGGCTCCGGCATGGACTCCAGCAACTAAGAGACTGTGGATCCAATAGCTGCAGAAAAAAGGCTCTGCGATTGGATTTTTTTGATGGGAGAACAATTCCCTCTCCAACCAATAGCCAAAAATTGCAATATTTTTTTTCAAAATACCCCATTGTGAGAGTTTTTTTTTGGATTGGGCCAAATAAAATTTGAGTTGGCTTTTTTTTCATACTCGACTTGAACTCCCCACTCCCTTGCCTTGCCAGTGAAAAAATTATGACTTTTAGCTCGGGTCCCATGGTCGACGCCAAAATGATGGTGTAAATTATCGACCGGTATATCGTTTTTAGCCGGGCAAAAACGATAAACTAGTCTAAAAAATACACCGAAATATAAAAACATGGATTTTTGACGTGGAAACCCAAATCGGGAGAAAACCACGTGCCTTTTTCGGCGGTACCTTGCCAACATGGGATTTTTATTAATATCGGGGGTTGTACACGGTACATGATTTGGGCTCAAAAGCCATTAATGGAAGCTTGAAGCTTCTTTGAAGAAATAAAATACAAGAATTGTCTAGAGAGAGAAAGTGTAATGGGCAGGGAGTGTAACACCCTAATCCGTCCAGGTCTGCAGCCCCTTTCAGCCTAAAGTATTAACTTGGTAATCGTAAAATTTAAAACTTTTCAAACACTTTTATTCATCACGATAATATTTTTCATAACATATACAGTGCGGAGTTTTCAATATTGCGGAAGCTTAACAAATCATAATTACAAACATAATTTATTTATGTTCTTTAATTCAAAACCATCACATCCATTCCGACAATCTCGCCTCCATCTGCCTCCAGAATCATGTCACATCATTCTTTCTATTAGCCTGCGTGTAGCAAATAAAACATACTACACGCTCAGCGGTGAAGCTGAGTAAGCATATCTAATGCGTCGAACATCCATATAAATTGAATCCAAATTCATAATCAAATCATTTGATATCACGCACAGAGTATTCAGTTCAAATATACAATAATCAATATTCAACATTCGTCATTCAATATTCATATTCAACATTCAACATCCTCATTCAATAATATCCTTAAACTATTCTTAGTCTAAGGCCAATTTATTTGATGTTTACCAACTCTTAAACTAGTTCTAGTTCAAGGTACTTATATTCAACTCTTAAACTAATTCTAGTTTTAATGTACTTTTATCCAACTCTTAAACTTATTAGAGTTTAAGGTACTTCTAACCAACTCTTAAGCTAGGTCATTAGTTTAAGGTACATATATT